ACACACACACTCACATACACACACACACACGCATACACACACACGCACACACTCACATACACACACACACATACATACAAGTGCATACGACACATATACACATTCACACACACACACACACACACACACACACATACACACACACACGCACACACACACACACACACACACACACACACACTCACATTTGAGTTTTAATGAAGAAGGGAAAATGGATACAACAACGTTTCGCTCACATCACTGCGGCCCTTACCCTAAATGCCTGTCTGATTCCTCCGCTGGCCGCGATGTTTTCCCCTAGTGGTTCGATTTCACTCACCTGGGAACAAATAGAAGAGCAACCAAGCATTGATATGTTACGCAGAGCTGTTTGAAGAGCAATAACGTGCCTCAAAACAAATCAGGCTATATGAAAACAGGGAAAGGCAGGCAGTGATGATTACAAGCAACAAATCATTCGCCTAATTGTCAAACTCCTGATAAGGCTAGCATCTTCTTTGAATGTCTTGGGGCAAGGGTTTGGAATTGCTGCAGAGACATACTTGACATTCCACATAGCTGTTGTCCTTGCTACTTTGTTGTACGGTATTGAAACCAGGAGAGGGTACAAAAAAACATACCAAGAAGCAAAACCATTTTCTCATGAAGTGTCTTAGGACAATTCTTGGCATCGAATGGTAGGACTAAATACCTCATACTTAAATTTTTGAAAGGGCAAATACGCTGCTGCAGTGCGATGTTGCTACGCATATCCGGTATGAACGAAAGACACAAGCTCGCACAGGTCAAAGCTTATCTGAAAGTCTGGGAATATCTGCAGCATCCTTTTCATGACAAAGTAGGTCGTCAGACTAACTCAAGATTCAAACTGGACACGGAGTGGATGACCCAAGCAGTGCAAACCATTGAAAAGTGTGGTCTCACTGTGGAGGCAATCAGACGAGGGGAGACATGGGTACAGCTTGCAGACGAGGTGAAAGACAGATTCACTCAGGTGATTGTTACATTGGGACGTGAATGTCATGAATGGCCCGAAGGAGCAACACATGCTGAAATCCAGAGGCTAATTGAAGAGAACTCCAGAGAGGATGAAACCATCATCTTCACTGATGGCTCTGTGCAGTGTGGGATCAAATAAAGCTGGGTTTACACTGCTTCTTGCCGAGGATTAACAATCCAGGCGGCATCTGGGGTAACGGGACTCACTACATCAAGCATAAGCATGGAGATCAAGGTCATCACTGAGGCCCTGAAATGGGTTTGCACTAATGGAAACCAGCAGGCTACCTTTCTTACAGACTCAATAAGTACTCTGGATAAGATCCTGACCGCCGCCTCTATGCAGATTGGTTTAAGACAATCCAAGAGAGGAAAATCAAACGCTTGCAGTTGCTCTTCAGCAAATGACATGCAGGAATCAAGGGAAATGAAAGAGCAGATAAACTAGCAGGCTCTGCAAACATAGTGAAATGGTTGTAAGAGAAGATGAAGAAGCCAAAAATGCCTACATCTCAAAACCATAATTTTGAACCGAATCGAGACTTTAAGGGTGTAGTCCGCAGCCCCCCCCCCCCTGACAATACCATTGTTGCATGTTGGTTAACTAATGGTACACAACCAAGGAAGTTATACAGAGTAAGGTCTTTGTGCATAACCAAAGTGAAAACGTCAAAGTCGGGTAACATTTGGTTACTTCCCCCTAGCACACTCACGTTCATGTGGGCCACCTCCGTGACGTAAGCACTATACTGGTCCACAAAGCACTGCGCCTTGTCTTTGAACATTTGGGTAGAGGAGTCGCTCCACCACTGCTTCAAGTGTCCGGTCTTGTCGAACTGTCTACCTGAGAAAAGAATTGAGGACTCACTGAAATTACCTCCCCTGCTGCAGCCCTTGTTTATGAAATTACATTACTATCATTTAGAGACAACATCAAAACTATTAAGATGCTTTCGTTTTCAGCCCTATTGGCATATTTCCTCTGCTTACTATTTAAGGGTACATATTTTTATCGAGAAGACCCGAGAAGACCCGAAAAGACCCGAGAAGACCTGAGAAGACTCGAGAAGACTCGAGAAGACCCGAAAAGACAGCCGAAAAGACCCGATAAGACACGAAAAGACACCAAATGATCCGAAAAGACATACATGGTTTATTTATTTATTGTTCATTGATTTGTTGTTTCTTTATTTGTCACAAACACATCAATAATAATACCCCCTTTAAGCAAATGAAAGAAATGAGAGTCAGTGTAAGTGTTTTAAGTTTTTTAAGAGTAGCTCCACAAGGGATCGACATTATTTTTGTTTTTACAGAAGTGGTGACGACGATCACGTTGAGGATGATGAAAATATTTGTGACAAATAAATAAACAACAACAAAAATAGACAATGAATGAATAAACCATGGATGTCTTTACGGGTCATTTAGTGTCTTTTCGTGTCTTCTCGGGTCTTTTCGGTTGTCTTTTCGGGTCTTCTCGAGTCTTGTGGGGTCTTTTGGGGTCTTTTGGGGTCTTTTGGGGTCTTTTGGGGTCTTTTGGGGTCTTCTAGGTATAAATAAGTGCTGCTATTTAATTTTTTTCATATTTTATTTTATACCTAC